GCTGTATTTTACTTGCAGGAACGGCAGTATCCAGTAACGATCCGTTCCGTTTTCAAGGAGCTGGTGTGGATTTCAAGGGTAAACTGATCGGTATTCGGGATGTGGATGAGGCACGGGGTGATGCGATGTGCGCCGATGCAATGAGGCTTGCAAAAGCAGCCGTGAAAAGTACCGGCCACCATAAACAGCGAATTATTCTCAATATTTCCATTGAAGGCCTCAAAATTAAGGATGAAAAAACACAGGTGATTCGAGTTTTTTTTTTTTCTTGCTTTAGCACTTTTTTAATTTTTATTTAAAGAGTTTGGAAACTTGCTGAAATCGTCATCGGAAGCTTGCTAAAGACTCGAATATTTGGCTTCGTCAGTGATGTTCAGAGTCCGTCTTTCCACGAATCGTTCATGTACTTCGATGATAATCTGCCTAATAACAGCTACCAGCATGCTTCTAAGCAACCTTCGAAAGGGGGAACTGCCAGTGACAAAATTTTGCCAACGAGTGGTTACTTTACGCGCGATTGTGTTCCGAGTGCCTCCTTTCCTCAAAGAAAGCAAATACGGAGAGGGCTTATCACTGAATTTAATCGAGAAGACCAGGACTGTTCGGCAGTCGGTGAGGAGAATTTTGCCGTTGGAGATATTACTGGAATGTGCCCAAATTCCAGAAATTGCATTATTAGTATTTTATTTTTTTGAAAACGCGGAAAAAACAGTTTTCGGAAATTGTAAAATTTCAGAGTCAAGATCCCTAGTCTCTGTGAGGAATAGCAACCACTGTCGGAGTGTCAATAATTTCTTAAAATTTGTTGGAAACAACTTACCTATCCCTTTTTTTCTGTCTCAGATAGTACTAATTTACTGCTTTAGTGAACTGTGTGTGGAAAGAGGGCAAGGGGTTATGAGACGGGAAGGGGTTGATTTTTTTGGATCATCATAAATTTGATATAATAACAAAACAACTACGATTTCTACTAAAATCCTCTTTTTTTTTAAATTCGAATTCACATTATTTTTTTTTAAAAAAAGTATGGTAAGAATGTTTTTCTTTTTTTTTGCAGACAGTTTTGCATAATTTCCCCGTTTCACGGATCTCGTTCATTGCCCGGGATACCACCGATGCACGTGCATTCGGCTTTATTTATGGTTGTTCAGATAACAAATATAAGTTTTACGGTATGTGATTCCTTTTTTTT